ATACACTGCCTGCCCCCAAATTATTGTCTCAGCATCTGATTCAGGGGAAAAAAAAAAAAACTAAGATGACTTAGTTTAGGTAAGAAGTCTCTAAAATACAAATTAACCCACTATATTAATGTACAACAAAACAATGAGTTTTGAAGGAAAAAAAAGTACTAATTTCAGAGGCTTAAGAACCTTTCCTTTCCCGAGCTTGATCACTTGGGAAGTGACTTGAATCCAAAGCTGAGAGAGAGAGAGAGAGAGAGAGAGAGAGAGAGAGAGAGAGAGAGATTTATTTCCGGGCAAGATCCCCTTGCACAGAACCAGGGACGATAAAAGGAAAGAAGGAGGAATCTCTCTTTACTTCTCAATTTCACCTCAGTTTCAGGAAAGCATTATCTCTGGCTTCAAGGAACTCAGTCTGTGGAGGGAGAAATTATATAAATAATAATTAAAATGATCAATATGTATTGAGTGTCATCATTGAGTGCTCTTGCCATGGAGAGGAAAGCATTTCAGAAAGATCTGTTGAGTAAATGATTGAACAAACTCTGCCAATGGAAAGTACAGTCTTTGTAAAGTTTTACAGATGAGTAGGTCTTCATCAAAGGAAGGGCTGAAGGGCCATTCCAGGCAGAGGGGATAACATATACCTAGAAAGGATCTAGCATATACAATCAGTCTAGAAAATCACTAGCTCTTAAATTGAGCTGCGCATTGGAATTACCTACGATTTTTTTTGTTTGTTTGTTTTTAAGTAAGGCTTGGGTCATATCCCCAGAAACTTTTATTGAAGTGGTAGAAAGCAAGGCCTGGTCCTTGAATTTTTTAAACTTGCCCAGGTGATTCTAATATACAGTAAAGTTGAAGAACCACTCTTGGACCATCCTGCAAACTTCCTTCATCTGCCTTGTTGCCTTTTCTCCCAACAATACTCACTAAATCTTCCAGTAAGTCACAAAGATGAGTATTAACAAGTTTTAACAAATTCACTGGAGGTCCTTTTGTCCTTTGTTGTCTATCCTCTCCCCAGTAAAAATTAGATGGCCCTAAATTCATCCCATAATGATAACAGGCAGCCATAGAAATTGAATTAAATGATGATTGAATCTTTTTAGTCCAGTTCCATAACTTGCCATGTGCCCAAGCTCCACCGGAGGACCAAACAGTGGAATAAAATCACAGGTTCCACCTTCCTTCCCTCACTTCCAGTCCATACCGTCAGCCCCTGTATCTCTGAGGCTTTTATTGTAACAGGGTATTATAAATTGTGTGGAGGGAGAGCCTCCCTATTCACCATGGAGCTTACAAAATGATTCCCCGGGGGACCATAGCAAAGTTAATGTGACATACAATTTCAGAACAGGAAGAACTAGGTTGCTTTGGGATAGTACAGAAATTATTAGCTGCAGTGTCCACATGGAGATCAGAATACTGCTCTCAATACCACTGCTCCTTTGTGCCTTTATGAACAGGTTAAAGAAGGAGGGTGGTTTGTGCCTGGTGGGACCTATTATAGCAGGAAACACTCACAAAAAAGAATTCTGCCTAATGGAGACTTACACAAGTTTCTTTCTGTTTATACCACTTAGCATTCATTCCTTTTTTAGGACACAGTCTTTTTGTGTGTATGTCACTATGACATTCCAACAAAGAACAAGGGGGGAGGAATATTATTCCATGTGACATTCAAAAACCTAACCTCTATCAGCTGCTTCTGAAGGTCATTCCTCTCGTGACTGGGAGTGAGCTGTGCAAGGCTGGGAGCCCTGTAACACTAAGCATGCCGCAAAATCAGGTGCTGAGACTGCCTGTCTGGCAGTTTCTTTCTTTCGCACTACAGTTTCTTTCTTTCATTCATTCATTCCATCACTGAGCCCCTACTCTGTAACCTACATTTTGGAGGATGCTACAGAGCAATGTTTCCAATTCTGATGATAAAATCTCCCTGCACTCTTTGACTTTGTTGTTGAATGTATTACAGATGCCCCTCCTTTTTTCTCCAATGGCCCTCTACTCCCCACTCCTGCCCCCCGCCCCAATCTTCACCACACTATTGTCTGAGTCCATTGGTTATGCATATATGCATGTAAGGTCTCTGGTTTATCTCCCCCCTCCAGCCCCCACCCCCGACCACACCCTTCCCTCTGAGGTTCGTTGGTCTGTTCCCTGCTTCCATGACTCTGGTTCTATTTTGTCAGTTATTTTGTTCACTGGATTCCACATATAAGTGAGATCATATCTGATCATTATCCTTTTCTGACTGGCTTATTCACTTAGCGTAAAACTCTCCAGGTCCCATGTTGTCTCAAAGGGTAAGAGCTGCATAGTACTCCATTGGGTATATGTACCACAGCTTTTTATCCATTCATCTACTAATGGACACTTGGGCTGTTGCCAGATCTTAGTTATTGTAAATAGTGCTGCTATGAACATAGGAATACATATATTCTTTCTGATTGGTGTTTCAGGATTCTTAGGATATATTCCTAGAGGTGGGATCACTGGATCAAATGGCAGTTCCATTTTTAAATTTTTTAAGAAACTCCATATTGTTTTCCATAGTGGCTCATCAGTCTGCATTCCCACCAGCAGTGTACTAGGGCTCCCTCATCTCCACACCCTCGCCAACACTTGTTGTTTGAGGATTTGTTGATGGTGGCCAATCTGGCAGGTGTGAGGTGGTATCTCATTGTTGTTTTAATTTGCATCTCTCTAATGATTAGTGACACTCGGCATTTTTTTTTATGTCTCTTGGCCATTTGTATGTCCTCTTTAGAGAAGTATCTATTCAGGTCCTTTGCCCATTTTTTAATTGTATTATCTTTCTTTTGTTGAGTTGTATGAGCAGTTTATATATTTTGGAAATTAACCCCTTATCAGATGTATTACTAGCAAATATGTTCTCCCATACTGTGAGTTCCATTTTTTCTTTTTTTCTTTGTATTCATCTTCAGATAGAGTGGGAGCAAGAGAGGGAGGAAGAGAGAGAGAGAAACATCTACATGAGAGACACACATCGAGTGGTCGCCACCCACACAACCCCAACCGGGGCCAGGAACAAATAGCAACTGAGGCACGCGCCCCCCAGTGGAAATCAAACCCGGGTCTCTCTGGACCACAGGCTGACACTCTAACCACTGAGCAAAATCAGCCAGGGTTCCCTTTTTATTTTGATGTTGATTTTCATTGCTGTGCCGAGGCTTTTCAGTTTGATATTGTCCCATTCGTCCATTTTTTTGTTTGTTTCTCTTGCCCTAGGCAACGTATTGGTAAAAATTCCACTACATAAGATGTCTGAAATTTTGCTAATAATAAATTCAATGAAGTATCAGGATACAAAATTAACATACAAAGATCAATGGCATTTTTATACACCAATAATGATCTCTCAGAAAAAGAAACCAAAAAAAGGAAACAAATAAACAAAACAATCCCATTTATCACTGCAACAAAAAGCTTGAGATACCTAGGAATAAACTTAACCAAGGAGGTAAAAAAAAACCCGTTCTCATAAAACTATAGGACATTAAAGAAAGAAATAAGGGGCCCTGGCCGGTTTGGCTCAGCGGTTAGAGCATCAGCCTGCGGTCCCGAGAGACCTGGGTTCGGTTCCCGCTAAGGGCATATACCTTGGTTGCAGTTTGTCCCCGGCCCTGGTCGGTTGTGCGGGTGGCAACCACTCGATGTGTCCCTTTCACATCGATGTTTCTGTCTCTCTCTCTCTCTCTCTCTCTCTCTCTCTCTCTCTTCCTCTCTCTTCCTCCCACTGTACCTGAACAAAAAATGTCCTCGGGTGAGGAAAAACAAAGAAAGAAAGAAGGGAATATATAAACAAGTGGAAGCATATCCCATGTTCATGGATTAGAAGAATTAACATCATTAAAATGTCCTTACTATCCAAAGCAATCTATAGATTCAATGCAATCCATATTAAAATACCAACAGTGTATTTCACAGATCTAGAACAAATACTCCAAAAATGTATATGGAACCAAAACAGATCCCAAATAGCCACAGTAATCTTGAAAAAGAAGAACAAAGTTGAAGGGACTAGATTTCAGGTTATATTACAAAGCCACTGTAATCCAAACTGCCTGATACTGGCACAAGAACAAGCATATTGATCAATGGAACGCAGAAATCAACCAAACCATTATGCTCAATTAATATTTGACAAGGGAGGCAAGAGCATACAATGGAGTAAAGACAGTCTCTTCAATAAATGGTGTTGGGGAAATTGGACAGCTACATGCAAAACAATGAAACTAGACCACCAACTTACACCATACAGAAGAATAAACTCAAAATGGATAGAAGACTTCAATGTAAGTTGTGAAACCATAAAAATCCTAGAAGACATAGGCAGGAAAATCTCAGATATCTCACAAAGCAGAATTTCCCTGCACCCTTTTCAATAACACAGATTCCCAGGTACCAGCACAGTCTCCCTAAATCAGAATCTTCAGGGGGAAGGTCATGGGAATCTGTACTTTTAACAAGTACCTTATTATATAAACAGTTAGTTTGGAATGGTTGGTCACTCTGCCTTGATGAATTCTTAGGTCTCATTGTTCTGTGAATCTAGTTCACAAAGGTCACTTCCAGTTGGATTTCTAGATGAAATAATGTTATCTCTATCAGCAATTCCCAGATCTCCATGTTTCATGAAATGCCAAGCCCACTCACAACTCCTTAAAAAGTTAGTAACAATGAGAGATTCCAAAATGATGGCAGAGTGAATGGAAGTTACACAGACTATCTCCCAGACCAAACTGGAATTACAACTAAAATAAAGACAAATCATCAGGAAAAAGCAACAGAAAAGCATCTTGCAAGGACCATATAACCAGGGACACTGACTCAATTCTGGTAGGAATGTGGAGGTGCTAGTGGGGCTGGGAGCCCACAGTCAGCAGTGGCCTTAGCTGTGAGTAGCACTGTCGGGGTTAAACTCCCAAGTGGCTCCACAGCACAGAGCCAGGACAGACACTAAAATAGCTACAACCACTCACCTTGAGCTCTGGCAGAGGCAGGGCAGACTGGACAGGAACTGTGTGGGAACACTCGGGATTTGGAGGGTGCTCAGATCTTTTGCTGAGTTGCAACCACAAAGAATGGTGGCCATCTTACTCCTTCCAAGGGCTCTGGGGAGAGGTGGTGGCCCCTCCCTCGGAGATTCAACAACACCCTGTGGGACACTGAAATGCAAATTAAGGCTCATTAACAACCAGAATCTGCCCCACCCTCAGCAAATGCCCTTATGCTGAACACCTGAGGGAGTTTTTCATTCAACTGAGACACCAAGGCTCTTCAAGTAACTAGCATCCAGGCAAAAAGCTAGAGGAAACCAAACCTTTCCTGGGTTTGCAATTCTAACCAGGAAAGTAAGACTTGACAGTGGTGTTTAATGTGGGTCCTCCCTCGCTCATCCAAACCCAGGAGAGAAAGCCACAAAGAGCAGAACACCAACACCAACAGGGAAAATTTGGCAGGCTCCAAAACCCACTGTGATAGCCAAAATGGTGAAACACAGAAACAAAAGCCAAATGAAAGAACAAGAGACATCCACTGAAGATGAGATAAATGTGGAACAGTTAAGCAAGTTAACAGAGCTAGAATTCAGAGACATGATCTTGAGGAAGCTCAACAGCATGAGTAAGGACATAGAAAAGTTGAAAATCAACCAGTTGGAAATTAAAAACCACCAAGAAGAAATGAAGAATGACATATCAAAAATAAAGAACACATTGGAAGGCCTAAACAGCAGAGTAGAGGAAGCTGAGGACCGGATCAGTGAATTAGAAGACAGGGTAGAAAAAAATCAACCAATCAGAAAACCAAAAGGAAAAAAAAAATTAAAAAGCAGGAAGACAGCTTAAGAGAACTGTGGAACAACTGGAAACGTAATAATATTCGCATCATAGGAGTCCCCAAAGAAGAAGAAAATGAGCAAGGGTTAGAGAATATATTCAAAGAAATAGTGACAGAAAACTTCCCTAATTTGGTGAAGGAAGAAGGCATTCAAGTTCAAGAAGCACAGAGAGCCGCAAGTAAGAAGAACCCAAACAGGCCCACACCAAGACACGTAGTAATTAAAATGCCAAAAATTAAAGACAAAGAGAGAATCCTAAAAGCAGCAAGAGATAAGCAACAGGTTACCTACAAAGAAAACCGCATAAGGCTCTCACTGACTTCTCACAAGAAATACTACAGGCCAGAAGGGAATGGCATGAAGTAATCAAGGTCATGAAAAACAAGGATCTGAATCCAAGACTTCTCTACCCAGCAAGGCTGTCATTCAAAATAGAAGGTCAAATAAAGAGCTTCCCAGACAAAAAAAAAAAAAAAAAAAGGCTAAGGGCATACATTAGCACCAAACCAGCACTGCAAGAAATGTTAAAAGGACTGCTGTAATTAGTAGAAGAAATAGGAAGAAAAATATAACCAAACTATACAAAAAAGGCAATAAATAAGTACATATCAAAAGCACCTTAAATGTAAATGGATTGGATGCTATGATAAAAAGACACAGAGTAGCTGATTGGATAAGAAAGCATGACTCATCTATATGTTGTTTACAAGAGACCCATCTCACAACAAAAGACTCACATAGGTTGAAAGTGAAGAGATGGAAAAAAATCTTCCAAGAAAACTAAAGAAAAAAAAAAAGCCAGGGTAGCAATATACATATCTGATAAAATAAATTTCAAAATGAAGGCCATAACTAGAGACAAAGAAGGTCACTACATAATATTGAAAGGGTCTATCCAAAAGGAAGATATAACCCTGATAAACATATATGCACCCAATATAGAAGCATTAAAAATCTTCTAGAGGACTTCAAAGGAGAAATCTACAGCAATACAATCATAGAAATCTACAGCAATACAATACAAAAAATTAGCAAGGAAACAGAGACTCTAAATGAAGCACTAGACCAAATAGATTTAATAGATATCTACAGAGAATTACACCCAAAACTACAGAATTCTCATTCTTCTCAAGTGCACATGGGATATTCTCAAAGATAGACCACATGTTAGGACACAAACTAAGTCTCTACAAGTTTAAGAAGATTGAAATCATATCAAGCATCTTCTCAGATCACAACGGCATGAAACTACAAAACAATTGCAACAAGAACATGCAAAGACATTGGAACACATGGAGGCTAAATAACATGTTATTAAACAATGAATAGGTTACTGAGGAGATCAAGGAAGAAATTAAAAACTTCCTGGAAACCAATGAAAATGAACACACAACAACACAAAATCTATGGGATGCAGCAAAAGCAGTTCTGGGAGGGAAGTTCATAGCACTACAGGCCTACCTCAAGAAACAAGAAAAAAATTGTATTGACTATCTAACCTCACAACTTAAAGAACTAGAAAGCAAACAAAAAGATAACCCCAGAGCAAGTAAAAGGAAGAAAATAGTAAAGATCAGAGCAGAAATAAATGACATAGAAGCCAAAAAACAATTCAAAGAATCAGTGAAACAAAGAGCTGGTTTTTCGAAAAGATAAACAAGATTGATGGACCTTTACTAGACTCACCAAGAAACAAAGAGAGAGAACCCAAATACACAAAATCTGAAATGAAAGAGGAGAAATAATAACTGACACCACAGAAATACAAAGGATTGTGAACAAATATTATGAACAATTATATGGCAACAAATTCGACAATCTAAATAAATAGACAAATTTCTAAAAACACATAGTCTTCCAAAACTGAACTGGAAGAGATAGAAAACTTGAACAGACCAATAACAACAAAAGAAATTGAAGAGGTAATCAAGACTCTGCCAGCAAACAAAACCCCAGGCCCAGACGGCTTCACAGGGGAATTGTACCAAACATTCAAAGAAGAACGAATACCCATTCTCCTCAAACTATTTCAAAAAATTCAAGAAGAAGGAAGATTTCCAAACTTGTTTTATGAGGCCAGAATAATTCTAATTTCAAAACCAGGAAAAGACACTACAAAGAAAGAAAACTACAAGCCAATCTCCCTGATGAACATAAATGCCAAAATCCTGAACAAAATACTAGCAAATCGAATCCAGCAAAACATCAAAAAAATTTATTCACCATGACGAAGTGGGATTCATCCCAGGGATGCAAGGCTGGTACAATATTTGCAAATCAATAAACATGATACACCACATAAAAAAAAATAAAGAATAAAAACCACATGATCATATCAATAGATGCCGAAAAAGCCTTCGACAAAATCCAGCATCCATTTCAGATAAAAACACTCAGCGATGTGGGAATAGAGGGATCATATCTCGACATAATAAAGGCCATATATGAAAGACCTACAGCCAACATCATACTCAATGGGCAAAAACTAAAAGCATTTTCCTTAAGAACAGGAACAAGACAAGGATGCCCACTTTCACCACTCTTATTTAACATAGTACTGGAAGTTTTAGCCACAGCAATTAGACAGGAAGAAAAAATAAAAGGGATCCAAATTGGAAAGTAGGAAGTGAAACTGTCATTATTCGCAGATGACATGATACTATACGTAGAAAACCCCAAAGACTCCATCAAAAATTTACTAGACTTAATAAATGAATTTGGAAAAGTAGCAGGATACAAAATTAACATCAAGAAATCGATGGCATTCTTAAACACCAAGGATGAACTCACAGAAAGAGAAACCAAAAAAACAATCCCATTTACCATTGCAACAAAAAATTTAAGATACCTAGGAATAAACTTAACCAAAGAGATAAAGGACCTATTCGCAGAAAACTACAGGTCATTGAAAAAAGATATAGTGGAAGATATAAAAAAGTGGAAGCACATACCCTGTTCATGGATTGGAAGAATTAACATCATTAAAATGTCCATATTACCCAAAGCAATCTATATATTCAATGTAATCCCCATCAAAATACAAACGACGTATTTCCCAGAACTAGAACAAATACTTCAAAAGTTCATATAGAACCAAAAAAGACTCTGAATAGCCACAGCAATCTTGATTAAAAAGAACAAAGTAGGTGGAATCACAATACCAGATATCAGGTTATACTACAAAGCTACTGTAATCAACACAGCCTAGCACTGGCACAAGAACAGGCAAGATGGACCAGTGGAACAGAATAGAGAACCCAGAAATTGACCCAAGACATTATGCTCAATTAATATTTGACAAAGGAGGCAAGATCATACAATGGAGTAAAGACAGCCTCTTTAATAAATGATGTTGGGAAAATTGGACAGCTACATGCAAAAAAATTAAACTAGACTATCAACTTACACTATACACAAAAATAAACTCAAAATGGATAAAAGACTTAAATGTGACCTGTGAATCCATAAAAATCCTAGAAGAAAATATAGGCAACAAAATTTTGGACATCATACGCAGCAGAATTTTCACTGATACATCACCTAAGGCAACGGAAACAAAAGAGAAAATGAACACATGGGACTACATCAAACTCAAAAGCTTCTGCATAGCAAAAGAAATAACCATCAAAATGGAAAGGCAACCCACTGTATGGGAGAGCATCATTGCCAATGATAAATCAGATAAGGGGTTAATTTCCAAATATGCAGAGTACTCATACAACTCAACAAAAGGAAGACAAAGAACACAATTTAAAAAATGGGCAGAGGAGTTGAATAGACACCTCTCCAAACAGGACATACAAATGGCCAAGAGACATATGAAGAAATGCTCAACATCACTAATCATCAGAGAGATGCAAATTAAAACAACAATGAGGTACCACCTCACACCTGTCAGAATGAGCGTCATCAACAAATCATCAAACAACAAGTGTTGGCGAGGGTGTGGAGAAAAGGGGACTCTAGTACACTACTGGTGGGAATGCAGACTGGTGCAGCCACTATGGAAAACACTATGGTGTTACTTCAAAAAATTAAAAATTGAACTTCCATTTGACCCAGTGATCCCACTTCTAGGAATATACACTAAGAAGCCTGAAACACAAATCAGAAAGAATATATATACCCCCATGTTCATAGCAGCACTATTTACAATAGCTAACATTTGGAAACAGCAGAAGTATCCA